AAGAAATAATTGCTGAAAACTTCTCCACATAGTCTACAGGCACACACCTGATCATCTACAATTGCTCTCTTACAACACTAAACTATGTTTTCTACCTTTATCTTGCATCTACCTACCACTTCAGCAGTTTATTAAAAACAAAAATAATAATAAAGGGAGAAATGTGGGATCCACATATAAATCAAGTATAAAAATCAAACGAATATTCATATTTGACCTGATTGTTTATAGTTCATAATGCGTGATCAAAACCAAAAGTTTCTGTGATGACTGCCCTTGTACTGTTCACCATGTAAGGACTTATTCGCTGTGTAGGAATTTGTTCACCATGTAAGAACTTGTTCGTTATGCTTCAGAAGATTGGAGACTGAAGAGAACTAGGCTTGAGATGGATTAATGATTGTGCATTGAGCATTGACCCCCCTATACAGAATTTTATTGTTGTTAACAACCATTTGGTCAATAAATATGAGAGACGCCCTCTCAAAAAAAAAAAAATGACGAGCTCATACACAAAACTGGTATATCTGGAATTCAGGAAGAGATACACAGTTCTCCCAAACTCTTTCCTACCACCTCTCTTGTGTAAATATGGCATTCAGTTTGAGAGTGTGATCATCACTCAGTCTAAGCTCCATACATTATAGACTAAAAAACAGTGGCTCACAGAAATGAAGCGACTTTTCAGAGCTAGCTGGTTTTAGAAACTCAAGAACTGGAGCCCAGACTCCCAGCCTAGTTGCAGCTTCTGGGTAATTATACTGGGTCCCTTGTGAGCAAGTGGCCGATTTTCATGGTATTTAGTTTACATCTGCTCAAAATTATCATATCATATCTACATTGTCTTAGGTCGGGTTCCCTAGAGGCAGAGCCTGACATGGGGATTCCGGTGCAGGGGATTATTGGAAGGGATGCTTTCAGGGAGTCAAGGAAGTAAAACAGGACAGCGGAAAGAGATATTCAAAACTGTGGCCTCAGCCTGAATGGCACTGATGTGAGTACCACTTGGAGGTAGAGGCCGGCCGCAAAACCCCCAAATCAGTCAGTCAGTAGTAGCTGCAGGACCCCAGTTCTGTGAAGCCAAATCTCTGGGTAAGAAGTCAGCAGTAAGCCACTAGGAGTCAACACTCACCACCTGGGGTATGTGTGCAACCCCCCATGGTGAAGGGGTCTTGAATGGCACAAACAGCAACCACTACACCACTGGAAAACAACTTAATATTATAATAAGGCTCCTTTCTAAGCAGAAATTAATACCTAAATCCACAAATATGGCCTACACAAGCAATACAAATTACTGTGTGTGCATTAACCAGTTCTTCCCCTCAAACATAGGTTGGGACAGCTACTACCCTACATAGGTACAAAATGATAATGCAGCTACCTACAGATTTCAAAATTGCCCTTAAATGCAGTTTACTTCAATAAATCAATACGTAGAAATATGCATGTAATTCATTAAATATATTATAAATAAAACACTTAACAGGAAATACATAGCACACCTAATT